TTTTCATCTATAATATATGTAGCCTACTAGGTATTCGCAAAAATGATGTGATGTAAGTGGAGGATAATAGTGAAATTTCAAAAACCTTGAAAGTAAACCAAGTCAAGGGCTGAAGTTTAAGAACATTATAATGAATATATCAAATAAAACAATGTATTATGGTGGGTTTGAGTATCTAAGCTTATATACCCTTAAAGGTATATTCACTTTTCCCATATATATATATATATATATATATATATATATATATATATATATATATATATATATATATATATATATTCTATGACTTATACTTCCCATTATATTGACATATTAATACCATATCAATGATTAAAAATGTATTTAAACTTAAATTATTAATTACGAAAATAAATATAAAATATATTTAAACTTAAATTATCAATTGCGAAAATAAATATAAGTAGTCTAGAATGAATAAATTATAAGCAAGCTAAAGGCGTGTTTGGCAAAAGTAGCTGTTAGCTGGAAGCGAGTAGCGGTTAGCTGGTAGCATGTAGCTGGTAGCTGGTAGCTGGTAGCGGGAAGCTGTATCTTTTATTTGTTATATGAACGTTTGAAAAAAGTAGCTGGAAGCTTTTGAAATATATAAAATTACATAAAAGGACAATTTATTAAGAATAAAAAAATATATAAATATATTTTTAAGGGTAATTATGGAAATTGATTTCAAAAGTTCCGGAGCGTTTTGTTAAAAGCTACATGAAGTAGCTTTTAGAATCGGAGCGTTTTGTTAAAACTAAAAACTAAACGTTCGTATTACCAAACGAAGTTTTTTGTTTAAACTGAAGCGTTTTATCAATAGCTAAAAGCTAGAAGCTCTCAAACGTTTCCAAAAAACTCCGTCCCAAACATGTGCTAAAAATCAAAGCGAAAGGTCGTTACATGGCCCGTTAAAAGTTAACAAACGTCAACCAATATCGAAAAGGCCCAAATAGCCGGCCCAACCGGATTATATATCGTTCTTTCCCAATCCTAAACCCTAAATCCCTGATTTGTTTCTCTCACACCAGATCCAGCCGAAAAGAAGACTACACAGAGCTAAACAGTCCTCAATTCAACATGGGTAATCTTAATAACTTCCAATTCCATCAATTAGTTTTGTTATAGATTGGAAACCGTGGTAGGTTAAGGGTTTATGTAGGTGGTAGTGCTCAATTTCTGTGTATTCGGCGTTTAATTAATCAACTGACGGTGATACTGGTTGCAATCTGTTTACAGGAAAGGTTCACGGATCGTTGGCTCGTGCCGGAAAAGTGAGAGGTCAAACCCCAAAGGTTGCGAAGCAGGACAAGAAGAAACAGCCACGTGGACGTGCTCACAAGCGCATTCAATACAACCGCCGCTTCGTCACCGCTGGTAAGATAGTTGCTTCCACTTTCATTTTTCATTCATATGAGATGATGCTTACCCTTGTATACAAACATACTAATGCTAATATCGATCTAGATCTATAAGTTGTTTGCTTTTCGAGTAAACCAACGAAAATTTGAAGTTTTATTTGATGTATCGGTTCTGGATCGTTTGAATTCCTTGATACCAAACATCAAGATTGGTTATAAACACATCGTATGCACTTTAGATGGTGAATTTTGATAAATTTTGTAGAGGAAGACAGATGTATCTTTATCTTCTGTTGTGTTTAAGATGATGAATCCATCTTTTACATAAACAGAGAATGATCTTAACTGGTTTTTATAAACTTTTTGATTTTTGATTTTTGATTTTTGATTGTGCAGTTGTTGGTTTTGGAAAGAAGAGAGGGCCAAACTCATCAGAGAAGTAAAAGCTGAGGGAAGCATGATCAGTCTTTACCTGAAATTGTTTTTGATGTTTTCTTAGAAAGACTTGGTTAGATTTTTTGATCTTACAAAATTATGTCATGTTCATCAATCTTTTGCTGAGTATCAACCATTTTGTCATATCTATTACGCTTTTTCGTTTGAACTTTTTATTTTATACTTAAACCTTTTTATTATATCAAATTAATTCAAAACCTTACACTTTTTATTATGTAAAATTTAATTCATCGAAACCTTACATAATAAAATAAAAACTTTGTTGATTAGTTAATGCAAATTTATGATTAATTAATAAAAATTTACAATCACCATTTTAAATGGAAAATGAGAGTGAAAGTTTGAGTTTTTGAAAATCATATAGATATATGCCTGTATAATGTCGCTATGGTTTTGAAGCATATCTTTGCAGCATCAAGAAGCATTGAAACATGTGCATCATATCCACAAAACATGCACTTTCCCTCGAATCTTACTTTTATGCTCCCATTTCGTTCTCATCGAAAAAACAATCACTTTTTCAAGAATATACAACTTATAAATCATCGATTTTAATCTTATAAAACCCAAAATTGGTTACACACAGCAAATAAATCATCGATTGCAACCAATAAATGCCTAATGTTTCCTGCTACCATCCGGTTTGGGTTTTATCGACTAATGTACAAGATGTAAAACATTATTAAGAATCTACAAATGTAGTCAATTATGGTATTTGTAAATGTTATCGTATTTGTAAGATTTTATAAATTATGTTATAGTGTTTTGGATTTGTTGACATGTATTTAAAATTTTATATGAATTTTATACATAAAAAAGTAAAGTTTATATTTTTGATTAATTAAAATAAATTAATGACATTACAAATATTTAATATTACGTTACAATTATAGACGGTAGATAAAAATAAACTAGTAATGTTAAAAGAAAAAGGATTAAAATCGACAATTGAAACTTCATCCCTACTTTTTTTTTTTTTGATAAACGAATATTATTACTTTGTACTTGGGGTAATACCATCTATATTTCTAAAAATGGAGGGAAAATGAGATGAGATCGGAGAAAAATAGGTAAAAAACAGGGGAATGAATGGAATTTGGGGTTGGTTGGAAATGGTTTTAAGCAATAAAGAAAGATTTTGAAAAGAGTAAATTACTATTTTCGTCCATATGGTTTACACGTATGCACGTATAGTCTAAGTTTTGATTTTTTGATACAACTCATCCCTTTGGTTTCGAGAAGTTACATCGGTCGTCCTTAAGGTAGTTGCCATCAATGGAACTCTGTTAAACAAGTGTAAACTAATGATTTTAGTATAGTATAGGTTAAATGGCACCAAAATTTTAGTTCGCTTAAAGTTTCACAGTGATTGAGTTGTCCCTGATCAATGATATTTGAACTGATAGTTGATATTCATTTGAATGTGATGGTAGTTAAGATGGGGCACGGCAATTTAAGGTGTTGGAAAAAATGGTTATTTGTGGTAATTGTAGTGATTGACGGTGACGAGCAACGATAGTAATCGGTGGTGGTGATAGAGTGATGTATTGATGGTGATTGGTGGTGGTAATTAGTGGTGATGATGGTGGTTGGTGGTCAATGGGGGTGATTGATGGTGGTAATGATGGTGTTGATAGTGGTTAGTAGTGGTGAATAATGATGGATGGTAGTGATTAGTGATTGTGAGTAATAACCATTAGTTGTGTGATGATTTGTGGTGGTGATGGTGGTATAGTGGTGAGATGGGGGTCGAATATATAAGATCTTTTATTTTATAATTAATATAAATATAATATGAAAAAAATAAAATAAAAAATAAAAAAATGATGCAAGTATCGTTATGTAAGGTAGTTAATGGAACGTTTCAGAGTTAGTCACAAGAACGGCAAGTGTAACTTCGAAAATCACCGAGATAAGTTATCAAAATTTTAAAAATTAAACTAAAAAGAGCAGATGCATATGAACCTTATAGATCAAAATTGTAATTTAATCTTTGGAAAATTTTCAAAATTAGAAAATTCATTACCTACGTTTTTATTAATTATTAGTGTTATACATTATATTATTGTTTTCAGGGAATTCACTAACTAGATTTTTTTTTAACCAGTAAATAGAGGGTAACCCGTCCCGATTGATCAGGAATGTCTGGCAGGCCATCAAGAGGGTAACCCGACCCGATGGATCAGGAATGTCTAGCGGGCCACCAAGAGGGGTACCATTCACCACCAAAGGGAGCAAATAATCGAACTCACGCCAATCCAGAGAAAATTCCTCAAATGTGCTCGTTGAACTCTTGACCTCACCCACTGATGCCTATAACCCATGATGCATCACAACCAGCCTAATTGTTATATTTTCTATAATGTTATTATAAAATGGTAATATTTCGTAAATGAACATTATAAAACTTTAAATTGTAATATTAATTTCATGATCATTCGTGTAAATCCGGACTACTTTCAGTTTTCTCAAAATAGTTTGGAAATTCTCTGGATATTGCATAATTAGGGTATAGGAAGAAAAAAAAAATTACATTTAACGTATACAAGTGTTGATATTTAGGTTATTACTTACAAATTACATTAGTTCTACTTTAGTTATTTTTATTATAAAAAACTTTGATCAACCCGTCAAAATGGCATTTGCAGTTAGTGATGCAAAATTGGCTTAAACTGACATTATCTCAAACAAAAAACCTAGCTTTTAGCGGCGACAAAAGTCGTCGCAATTAATCCCAGCTGTCGTCGCTACTACCGTTAGTGACGGCATGTCGTCTCTAAAACGTCGTCGCAATTAACTTGTAGCTAATAGTCGTTTGTTGTCGCAAATGCCGCCGTCTCTAATACATGTCGTCTCTTTTCCTGTGTCGTCTCTATTGATATTCCGATGACCGGACAAAGTTTTTCCGTCAAAGCTTGCCGAAGTTATGTGTCGTCGCACTTAGTCCACGTCGTCCTTAAAAGTGTCAGCAACTTTTTTTTTTTTTTTTTTTTTTTTTTTTTTTTTTTTTTTTTTTTGAGGGAAAACATATTTTTTATGATATTATAGTTTATATCATAAAAACATATTTGATAAAAATAGATAAATAAATACATACCACATTAGATAAAACATCAAACATACAACATTACATATCTAATAAATCCTTCATAAACATCTAATATATAATCCATAAACTATCTAATAAATCCAAAATAACATCATCCGTAACATAAAACAAGAAATACTATGTTTCTTCGTTTTCGTCTTCCCCATCATTTTTTCCTCGTTGTTGACTTTGTTTTTAAAGGAGCGGATAATGTCTCCAATGACCGTCACAAATGTCGGGTTTTGAAGAAAAGCATTCACATCAACATCCTACAATTAAGTCTCAAGCACATTAAATCATTAACAATTCAACAAACTATCAAACCATCAAAGCACCAAATGAATTAAGTCGTTAACAATTTAAGTCACAAGTACCTGTGTTGGTTGCGGTGCTTGTGACTGCCATTGGGATGGAGCACTTGTACCCGCAGCTGAAGAAGCTTTAGGTCCAATGCCTCTCACACGCCCCTTTCGTGTACCCAACACCTTCTCAAATATTGCGATCCAATCAATAGTGTCTAGATCACCACCAGAGTCGGCTATATGATGAGTCTGTAGAGCAACCTCAGCAACTAAGACATTCTGTAATTCAAAAGATTGTTAATATACTTTAAAACTAACACAAAAAAACTAACAATCTACTACGAGAATTTGAAGCAATAATAACTTACATATTGGTCTTCAACCAAAGGATCAACAAATTCCCCTTATTTATTCACATGCGCATGATGAAATATTTCAAGTCAATTCAAATTCTATTTAACATTACAAAATATGTTATATTTGAATAAACACTAAAAAATATGGTATAAGTGAATAAACATTATTGTAACTTACTTTCTTGAAAGAAACACTACCATAGCTACATGTCCCTCCACGATTCTTCACTACTTGATTCTTCCGACATTCTTTGTTTCCAGCGGATCGTTTTGATGTTTTTTTGTTAAGAAATGGTCAATAGTAGCATTCTAACGCTGCCGATCCATACCCGTATGGGCTTGAGCCCTTAATGCCTCCACATCCCCTGCAAAATCAATCAAACGGTTTTTTTGCAATATTTTTGCGGCCTCTATACCGCGCACATATCCGATTGTTCAGTGATGCCCAATAAGTTGGAGCCATGGGATGATTTGTAATCGCTCCGAAATCAAACCATGTCTACAAAAAAGAAATAGAGAAGTTAAAAATAAATCAAACTAAACAATATTAAATATATAACTTTATAAATAATTTATCGAAAGATATTGGAACATGCCAACCCTTTCGGCTTCAAAAACATTAGTCCATGTGTCCTTATCAAAAGCGATGTCCCACCACATATAGCTCCCAACATCCCGAATGAAACATTCATACACCTCCCCAATCGACATGTTAGTATTTATGTCGAATACTATCTTCAGAGGCCACTCACCATTAACTTTAAATAATTTGTGCATTTGTTTATTTACCACCATGTCTCTTCGTCTCGGAGGCACCACTACATAAATAAATATTAGTTAAAATAATTTTTTTATATACAAACAATAGGAAATACAATGAACTAGAATAAATCTTAATTACCATCGTTCTGGTGATCATCAAAACCTCCACCGAACGGATGTGGTGGCTCATCACCACCGTCGCTTTCATGGCCCATCACAGCAACCATGAGATGGAGCAATGCAATCCAAAGAAATGACATCCTGAAAAATTATAACACAATATGAATATATATACATATAATATGATATGATTACAAAATATACAAACCTTATTTTACTAGTCAAATGTAAAGATTTTTTTAATCATTCTCGCCCTTAGACACTTCAGTGTCTGCTGACACATCACTATCATAATAAGAATCTTCCTCATCACTATCATAATCAGAATCTTCCTCATCATAATCAGTCTTGCAATCAGACACATTATTGATGATACTCATTGGTAGGTCAACTTCAATATCATCTTCAAACGATTGAGAATTTTGAAAATACTGGGTAAAGTCGATTGAGAGAGTGAAATTAGAAGAAGCATTACTAAGAACGACATCAGTTGAATCATTATCGACATTTTCAATGGGATCATGATCGACATCGTTCATCGGTAGATCCCAAATTCTTCTATGATTAACATTTTCAACAACCCATCGTTGGTTGTCATTTTCATCACTTCGAGAAGGTTCTTGGATGTAAATACTTGCTTCGCCTGCGTAGAAAATATGAATTGATCTTCGCTGCTCAATTCGCGTTGTGGGTCCATACTGGTGAAATTATTATTAGATTTAACTCCTATAGTATCGAACCACTTGCAACGAAAAAGTATGGTGGAATATTTATGAGGATAATGCAACTTGATAATCTCTTCTAGCTGACCATAATATTTCTGCTTATTCTCTCCCTAAGTTAGAACCCCCGAGTTTAGTGTTGATCGTTGGGCGTCACGCATAAGTACCATAAACCTAACACCATTCACTATGAAAACGGTGTAAGGAAAGGCATTCGAATGTGCACCAATTGAAAGAGCCAATAATTCCTTGTTAAACTCTGGAGATTTTTGTTTTTGCATATCATAGACCTTATGAAGAAACCATTTAGGGAATTCGTTTTTTTCATCACTCTCAGAATATAATGATTTGAATTCACTACATTGATGAAATATATATATATATATATATATATATATATATATATATATATATATATATATATATATATATATATATATATATATATAGTAAAAAAGAAGAAGTTAAAAATAGATAATGAATTAAAAGATAAGTACACTTACGCAATATACTTTCTGACTTCCTCACAACTATCAAGCACAAACCAATGTAGACGTTTTCTCTCCTCTAAACTGAGACTTTCATTTTCTTTGCGCTAGCCGGTCGACACTTAGACTGAAACACCCAAAACTTTGTTTCTTCTATGACAACATCTTCGTTTCTTTCACGGCGATTGAATCGAGTCTCAACATTTTCAAGGTACATCGAACAAAATGATAATGCCTCTTCAGCGACATAACCCTCAAATATAGAACCTTCCAGCTTCGCCTTGTTTCTAACGTAGTTTTTTAGTTTTTTCATATACCTTTTGAAGGGATACATCCATCTCACACATACTGGGCCTCTAGAAATAGCTTCATCGGGTAAATGCAAAACTAAATGAACCATAATGTCAAAAAATACAGGAGGATAGATCACTTCTAGTTTGCACAATATTTTAATAACGGCTGGTTTCACTTCTTTCATATCCTTCATTGATAGTGTTCTTGAGCAAAGTTGCTTAAAAAACATACAAAGCTCTATTATTGGTGTATAAACACCTTTCCCCAAAAGACCTTTAACTCTAATGGGTAACAAACATTGCATAAGAATGTGATAATCATGAGATTTCAACCCAATAATGTTAGTATTGGTTTCATTCACTTTCTTACTGATGTTAAATCCAAACCCATCTGACAGTTTCACATTTCTTATAAACCTACAAAAACGAATGCGGTCAGGTTTCATGAACAACTAAGGTGGATGGGGTTTAAGGAACTTGTTGCCACTCTTTTTCAGCTATTTATTTTTCCGAATGTTCAGTTTTGTTAAGTCTGCCCGAGCATTTGAAGTGTCTTTAGACTTATCATTCATCAGAGAAGTACCCACAAGACTCTCACCCACATTTTTTCAATATGCATAAGATCGAAGTTGTGCTTCAACTCTAGAGAAGACCAATACTCAAGTTCAAAGAATATTCTCTTTTTAGACCAATTCAACTTGAAATCCTCACGATCTCTCTTAATACCAGCTCGTTGAGCAGCTACTTTACCTGGTCGACAAAACAATAGACAAGCGTGTTGCGCTTGTATTTCTTCCTCACTAAACTGTCTTGGAGGGCCTCTTGTCTCATGTTTGCCATTATAGTCCAAAAATTTTCTCCATGGATGGTCAGCATCTAAGAACCGGCGATGACCAACATATACGACTTTATTTGATACTTGGTATGACGGAGTGTCTTCGTTGCAAGTCGAACAAGCTTTGTACCCTTGTTCGGTCCAACCGGATAAACTACTACGAGCGGGAAAGTCGTTTATTGTCCATAACAACATCGCTTTCATATCGAAGAATGTATCTGTTGCTGTGTCTTTAGTACACACTCCAAAACTTCATAACTGCTTCAACTCATCCACCAACGGCTTAAGGAACACATCCAATTCCTTCCCGGGTGCTTTGGGACCGGGAATCAACAAAGTCAACATGAAAGATGACTCTTTCATGCATAGCCAAGGTGGAAGATTTGTGACAACCTGAAATTTCCATTCGTACAAACCTACAGTCAAGCACTTCAAATAAAAGTCAAACACTTTTATGCTAAATTTTAGTCGGTTTAAAGTCCGTTTGAGTGTTTTTAATATTAATTCTTCAAATGAACGAATAAAAGGAAGTGTTTCGAGGAGTATCGGGTAACAATTAAATCAACCAACACCTTAATTAGGTGTTCACGGCCAAACAAATGGAGTTTGGGCCGTGAACACTCTCTTGGCCGTGAACTCATGCATATAGCATGAGTTTACTCCCCATTTCCCCTATTTCTCACTTTCAAACTGTAACATCCAAAATTTTACAAGAAAATTTTTTCGTTTTAAAAAGTAACCCGATTACATATTCCATAAGTTTTCAAAACATTTGTTTCCAGTTCACATAATTACATCATTGTTGTGTTTTTATGAAATCATCAGAGAGTCCCTAAAACGTCCAAAAGAGAGGTAGGGTACACGCCACACCATCACGCCTTGCCTTTGCCCTTAGGCTCCGAAGTACCTACAACAAACAACAACCTGTAAGCGAAACGCTTAGTGAGTTTCCCAGAGCATACCACACAAAATCACATATCCTGATAGCCATAAAGCTACACACATAACACACATGCCTCTCCGGAGGTCAACACGAAACTCCACCTGCCTCTCCGGAGCCACTCTGGGTAATTCTTCGGGAAAACATCCGGAAAATCCCGCACCACTGGTACACTATCGATATCCGCCACTGCCTCCACTCACGTATCTGAAACATAGGCCAAAAATCCCATGTAGCTCTGCTACAGAAACCTCCTCGCCCTCGCAGCTGAACAAAGGGTAGGGCCCTGCGTGGTCCTCTCGCCGTGAATAACCAGTTCTCCCCCCTTAGGGTACGTACCCGGACTAACTGCTGCTCACAATCGATCATGGCCCCATTGGCTCCCAACCAATCCATCCCAATAATCACTTTCATTCCTCACAAGGGTATGGGAACCAAATCAACGCGAAAGCTTTCGCCGTGCACATTCAGGACACAATCCTAATATACCCTCGCAGCACTCACGGTGCGATCATCTGCAATCTCCACCTCGAGCGGGGCATCCAAAGTCCCCGGTGCGTCCCGTAATTTCTTGCTAAGTGCAAGAGACACGAAAGATCGGGTAGCCCCAGAATCGAATAAAACATGAGCCGTCATACCATTGACCAGAAAGGTCCTTATAAAAAGAACAATAAGCATACATGAAAACAGTTAACACTAAAAGAACAGATGATAATGAAAACATACCAGCCACAACATCTGGCGTGGCTCGAGCCTCCTCGGTAGTCAGCTGGAATGCGCCGCTCTTCACCACTGGAGCTTTCGCCTTGGGGCGGCCATCAGTAATCCTCATAGTGGCGGGCACAGGCGCCGCCACATATCCTCCTCCTCCACCCTGAAACCTCGAACAATCGGCCTTTTTATAACCTGTCTGGTTGCAGTTAAAACATATCAAGCCCTTCTTAGGGCAATCCTTACTCAAGTGGCCCTATTGGCCACAGGAGTAGCATCCTGACATCCTGACTGTACGATAAGCCCCACTATGAAATCTCCCACACTTGGCACACCGACCCCGGACCTGTTGGCCCTTACCGAAAGAATCAGAGGTCTTAGGCTTTTTAGCCCGAGTCCCCGCTAACTGTACCTGCTCAGTCTTCCGCTTTGTACGAGACTCCAACTCCATCTCCCTTTCACGGGCCTTCTCAACCATCTCATTCAGGTTTTTGCACCCTGTGAAACTCACAAACTCCCGAATGTCCTCCCTCAGCATAGAGTGATATCAGGTCCTCCTCATGTCCTAATCTGTCGAATACTGAGGAATCAGCAAAGCTCGCTCTCGAAACTTGGTGGTAATTTCCGCCACAGTCTCAGTAGTCTGTTGTAGGTCATGAAACTCTCTCACCATTCGTTGCACCTCAATAGGCGGTGCAAACTCCTGATCAAAACGTGGAACAAACTCAGCCCACGTAATGCTAGTCACACCGGCTGCCCCCATCTGATTAGTAATGTCGCCCCACCAATCTTTGGCCCTGTCCCTCAGCATATAGGAAGCAAATCCGACCTTTGCCTCCTCGGGGCAAGAACTCGTACGCTGAGCGTTTTCAATGTCTTCCACCCAGCGTCTACTCACAATAGGTCCCGAACCCCTGAAAATCCCGAAGCTCCACATGCCTTGAACTCCCTAAACGAGGGAGTTCGAGCTCCACCCTGGCTCGCGGAAATATCAGCCCTGAATGCTCTAAGTCTCTCCTCCATGATCTCCATCATGCCCTTCTTGACCGTCCCAAAGATTACTGGGGTAGCATCAAGGATGCCCCTCGTAACCTCGGTCGCGATCAGCTTGTGGAACCTCTCGTCAATACCATCGGTAGGGCCGTTTGACC